ATTTGCTAGCATTTAAGAAATAGAGCAATAGCCATTGTAACCATATGATTTATAAGCTTCTTTAATAAACCTGTAACTGTTTAAGCTTTAACCTGACTCCTTCAGTTGCTGTAATAGAACCAAGCACAATTTAAAAGAACTTCAGCCAGTCATAAAGGAACAGACATAGGGAGAGCTTGGGCATTTGGATCTGTGTCACTCCCAGGTGACAAGATCCGTTGGGGCACCTTTTCAGCCTTTCCTAGGCTGCCCTCTGCGAAGGAACCCCTGTGTTCTACCAGCTAAAATCTAAGGTGTAATAAACTCTTCCTATATAACGGGGCGTCTGCTGGCCACCCTCTGCGATGGGACCCCGGTCCTAGCAGTAAAGACACAGACATTAAACCTTTTCTCGGAAACATACACACACACACTGCCCTGACCGTCGGCTGACAGTCTGTGTGCTGGAACACAGTCTAAAATTTACTATCCTATTAATAAAAGTGTTAAAACACCACTAAATTATGAAAATGTAGACAAAATCCATGCCACTGTCATGCCTAGATCTCCATTACTCTTCTATGATACTGATGTGGTTTTTATTCAAGGGTTGCATTCACTTTCTGTAGATACACTAAGTAGAATTGCCAAACAATGTGATGATTAAACAGTACTGTACTTTGAAATTTCACTTCGCAGTTGCAGTTCTGTAATACTACTTTTGTAAAACTTTTCATCTCCAACTACTTTACAAAGGAAGGCAAGTCTCCACAGTACAGAAAGATGAAAGATTCTACACAGAAGGTCATTAGCAAAACTGGAAACAAAACCTAGGTCTCCTGATTTCCAGTCAAATGCATTACCTAATGGGCTGCCTTCTGGGCAGACGGCATTGCTGAAAATATACCATTATCTTCACCACCACAATTAATTTGAATGCAGCTTCCTGACAAAAAACAGTTATTTTTCACATCAGAAACATCCTGTATAATTCCTTGAAAAGTCATACCTTTACAATGATAGCAATAGTTTTTGCGTCATACATAAGGTGCTTTTTTAAACACATGCTATAGATAAATCAAAGCTATACACAACTTTCTTTCCACACTCCAGGAAAAATAACTTAGGTTTGATAAAGTGCTAGTTAATAATGAATTGGGTGCGCCCGCCCCCCCCCCCCCCCATCAGAGGCAGCAGCAGGGGGAGGTATGGTAGGGGAGGCTTTATGAAGCAACCCTTGTCCGTGGGGCCTGTGGACAGGTTGCTGGGCCCCCCTGTGGACAGGTTGCTGGGCCCCCCTGTGGACAGGTTGCTGGACCTGGCATGATCCAGGACTGGGCAGTCCCAGCTCACACGGGTCCAGGACCGCTGCAGCTCTGCATTTTAAATTTAGTAAGAATCGACTGGCTCAATTAAAATACAGAGCTGCAGCAGAGATGCACCCGGCGCAAGCTGGCACTGAGGAATCCCGGCTTATGCTGGGTGTGGGACCGTTGCGGCTCTGCATTTTAAATGCAGTAAGAGCCACCTGGCTCAAACCGGTAAAGGAACTACCCCCACCGCAGCTCTGCGATTTAAATATAGTAGGAGCGGGGTGCACAGGCAACTCGGCTCTTACTACATTTAAACTGCAGGGCCACAATGGGGGTAGGTCCCAGACCAGTGCAAGCACCTTCCCTTATTGACTAATCATGTAGTCGATACAAATTGTATTGACTGCATGATTAGTCAATTACCTGCCTCTTAATATGCTTACTTCACTTATGAAACTATTGCTTGCTTTGGTAAGGACTGAGCCTATTGTTGAGGCAAAGTGTTAAACCCTCATTTATGTTTCCTAAAACTTTGTATGCTCAAGTTTAAAGCACTGCCATGACAGCTTTTTAATGCGACAGTGTGGTCAAGTTAAGAGGGCTGGCAGAGAGCGCTCTCAGGGTACATCTACACAGCAAGACAAAACTTGAATTTAGCTTCAAACTTTAGCTACATCACTTGTGTAGTTTAAGTTGAAATAGCTTAATTCGGCTTTTGGTGCTGTCTATGCAGCAGGCAGAACACTCTTCCTTCAACTTCCTTTAGTCCTGGTAAAAGGAAGGTTACAGGAGTCAAAGTAAGAAGTCCTCCAGCTGACCATTATTTCAAAATAATGGCTTGCAGTGTAGACAGTCTCTTTGTTATTTCAGAATAATGTCAGTTATTTTGAATAATGCTGCTATGTAGACATACCCTCACTAATCCACCTCCCTTAGAGGAGTAGCTAACTGTGTAGGAAGCCTATTTACACTTGTGCTTTACTGCACTGTAACATGCTGTGCGTGTGAGAGTGTTTTTTCACACCCTGAGTGAGAAAGCTACAGCATAGTAACTTGCCACTGTAGACAACGGTTAAGACAAAGAGCTGTGTTAACAGATGACTACATTTTCTTGATGAACAAAACAAGGAAGAATGCTCTATATTGTGCTAAGACTAATTCCAGCCTGGAGCAAGAATCACAAAAATCAACAAGACAGTGATCTTATATATGAACTTTAGGGCTATGTCTACATAGGAGGGTTCTTGTGCAAGAATCTGCAGAGTGTTCAAACTGCCTGCCCGCTCTTGTGCAAGAAGATTTACAGTACAGCATGGTAAGAGAGGGCTTCTCATGCAAGAGCTACGATCTTTTCTAACAGGCGTAAGCTCTCTTGCGCAGGAGCTCTTGTGCAAGAGGGCAGTGTGGACGCTGGGCAGGGGTTTCTTGTGCAAGAGCCCTATGGCTAAAATGGCCATCACAGCTTTCTTGCACAAGAGAGCGTCCACACTGCAATGGATGCTCTTGCGCAAAAGCACATCTCGCACATGGCAGTGTGGACGTTTTCTTGCGCAAGACTTTTTGGAGAAGAACCCTTGCACTAGAAGTTCTTGCGCAAGAAGCCGCCAGTGTAGACATAGCCTAGATGTTTCCCTTCTTCAATGGCCCTCTTGCATCCCACGTAAGTTAACCACTTTTCTGGCCATTTTGTGTGGAGTGAGACAGATGCCTTACCCATTCTCACAAATAGTAGGTTAGGTGTTTAAGCCACCTGACTGCGGGAGATAGGTTCCTGGTTATGCGTCTTGTGTTTTTGCAGCCTGGAGTTGGGTCACTATTTCTGTGAGGAGGTTGGACTCAAGAAACACCCCTCATCAGCATCTCCCATTGGTTAGTTTACCTGAGTTGCCAAACTGACTGACTGTTGATCATATGCTAGAAGGCCTGCCTCTTCCCAGTCATTATTTAAGCATATAACTTAGGCTTTGTAGATCACAGTGTTGTTCCTGTAATTTCTAAGTGCCTCAAAGGCAAAGCTGAGCTTTGCAATACCCTTTTATGATCTGATCCTGAGCTACTTGGAGAGAAAGGTGCTGACAAATAGAGAAAATGCTAGAGTTAGACTACACTGTGTTACCAACACTGGTGATTTAATTGAGAGTTTTATCATGTTTGGTGTAAGTCTTAAAGCTTTAGCTACTGGAGTCATGAGAAAACATGAGAATCTACTTTAGACTAAAACCTGGAAGTAAGTTTCTAACTGTCATGGTTGCAGAGAAAAGCTGGACAATATAACTCAAGTGCATACCAAAAATGTTCAATAGCCAGAAAATACATCATGATCTCTCACTGTTTATTATTTTCAAATCACATGGTTTTTCATCAAATCTCATATCTTGTGTGCCCGCCTCATGATATTTGAATGTTCCAGATTAGTAATACTGGCCTCTCTTCAGTTAAAAAGGGGATCAAATAAGGAACTGAACTCAGGGTACTGTCTAAAATGTAGTGAGAATTTATGAGAAAATACACAAAATGAAATATGTGACTACAATGGTGTCCTGACATTTGTGTTAGAATCAACTATACAAGATGTCAGCATGAATCAGATATACTACTAAGGTCCTTTCTGCTTTGCAAAAATGTTTCAACCAAATCAGACAACAGTGTTTCATTTAACTTTGTGTTTCAGATTGTAGACAGTGCACTTGAACATTATTCCTTAACTAATTTTGAAGGCGAGTGTAATGAGGATCTTTAATGACAGTCATCTCTATCAATAAAACTAAACTTGAACAGCTTCAATACCTTTAGGAAAATGCTCTTGGTCTATCAATAGACAACTCCATTGATTATAAGGCCATCAACAAAGATCCACAACACAAACAATATTTAGTGTTAACCATATATTTTGGAGTGTCCCCTGTCTAAGTTAATTGCATTCAATTGCATGCACTTTTAGAAGAGTTAAAACAAGTGTCTCAAGTCACAAAGTTTAACACAAACATTGACTATCAATTTGTGCATAACCTGCTAGACTTTTTTCACTTAACAGTTAATGTTCCAGCTCACTCCAAGACTTGATATTAGTGCTTTAGACTTTAATTACAGTAGGTCCTTACTAATTTAGAGACCACTAAATTTACTAATGTATGTAAGTGATATGTCAAAGTATATGGTCATTTGTCTTGCAAAAATAATTGAATCTAAATCATGAGATTTCCATCTATAATATCTCCCATTTAATCTTTTCTGAGAAGTGGAGAGAAACCACTAGTTTTGCATGGAAGTATAAAGAATGTCATGTTACAAAGAGGAAGTGAAATTCACATTCAAAAGTTTAAATAATATTTTTTTTTAAGAATCTGGCACAGAATTTGTGCAACTTTCTACAATTTCAAAAAGGTAGTGATATATGTCAGTCCTTCTAGCAATATCAAATGCAGTTTCATCCAAGTTATTTTTTAGATTTGGTTTCAGATAACGATTCATCAGCAGAAGTTCAAGAGTTTCTTTACTCCCTTTGTTTCCTGCTGCAAGATGCAATGGTGTCAGCAGTCCATTTGTTTGAGCATTGATATCTGCACCATGCTGAAGTAAAAATGAAGCCACCTTTGTATTGTTCCACTTACATGCGCTATGTAGAGGAGTCCAGCCATCCACTGTCAGTGCATGGACATCTGCACCTTGGGCAATCAACTCACGCACAACATCTAAATGTCCACTGTAGGCAGCTCGATGGAGGGGAGTGTACTGATCTTCATCTTGGACATTAACAGGAGCTAGTTTTTGAGAAAGGAGCCTGTTCACTGTGCTAAGCTATGTAAGAAAGACAGACAGTTTAATGGAACCCTCACTCAATGAGATGCATAGCTTTTATTTCTACAATTTAGAGACAGCCTGATATGCAGTCAAAGGAAGTTTATAATATTTGTCTCAGGAAGAAGGTTGTACATAAACAATTTTTAAATGATACCAATTATTTTACTGTTGCTGTTTCTTTTGAAGACCAGACATGAACTCACTGGTACATAAAATGCATGTGTGAACACACACACGCAATAGATATGTAACAAGTATAATTAAATAAGGTAAATTTATAGTCTGTTGACTGTAGTGCATACAGGATAAAGTACCACTTAAAACAGGGGAGAGGAACTTCTTCTGGTCCGGGTCCACTCACCCACAGGGGAAAAAAACAAAAAACAAAACAAAAAAACCAAACAACAACAGTTGGAGGCTGCACACAAGTAAAGAGAAAAAAAATCACAAGACCATAAAACAAAACAAAAAACCCACCCCTCACTGACGTGGCCCCTGACTGAAGGAGAAAGAAACACCTCCACATTCCCCTTGCACACAGAGCTTCAGGTGGGGAAGCCCAACCTAGTAGATTTTGGGTCCTCCAACCCTGTGGGGGGGAGGGGCTGGAGCACGGGCTCCCCAATGCTATGGGGTACCCCTAAGCCTCAGAGGCAAGCTGGGGGCCTCATTTGCTGACTTGAAAGGCAAGTCAACTCTGTGGATTAGCTTGCAGGACCTGGCCCCAAATATTCCAGGTCCTGTTAGCTTGGCTCCCATTATGCTTTGCAAAATATGACAATTGTGGCTAAATTCTTAATTTTAAGCATAATCCAGGTAGATACCAATATAAGGTAATACAGTCAAAAATACTTTATATATAAAGTGGATCAACTTCTTCTTACCCGATTTTTTTCTGCTGCCCAAAGCAACAGTTTTTCTGGATTATTCTCCAATTTTTTTTCTTGCATTTGGAACCACTCCTCGCTTTTTTCCTCCTCATCTTCTTCTTCTTCAGACTCTCCGGACCAAAGACTCTGAGTTCCTATAGGAATTAGATGTCTGTGTGTCTCCAACAATTCAAGTTGGTTAAAGTTCTCAGTAAATTCCAGTAACTCTTCTCTGTCATCTTTTCTATTGTCTGTATTTTTCATGTCTGATTGTCGGCTTTCATCCATTTTTAGTTAGCAGCTGTAAATGCCAAATGTAAATAATTAAATATTTTTTTCTTTCTCACACAAATAAATTATCAAAAGATAAATAAAGTGCTGTTCCAACAACAACACAATAAAACACTTTCTAAAAGCAACTTTAAGAATGACAGTTTTAAGTATTTTTTACCAATCTGGCTATGTAAACAGGAACTGGATTAGCTGCAATTAACATCTTTGCTGCCAAAACCCACGAGAAACAAAAGTGCTTGTACAGAAAAAGTATGACATCTATAAATGATATAGATTATATGGAGCAGCATTGAATATGCATTCTGCATAGTGTGCTTGGAATACCCAAGTGGATTAATATTTGCATTTCCAGAATTAGTTTTTGTTTCTCTTTTGAGTTGTAGCAATAATGACTTATCTATACTTTTCCCCCAGAAGGATTCTGAGCCTGGGGTGGCTAAAGGTCCAGATGAAGGGAGAAAGAGGAAGAACATTGAGCATTTCATCTATAAAGCACCAATGCTAGTAGAGAAATTCATGACTGGGGCAGAAAGGAAGCTTTGGTGCCTCCACTACCTCCGTATAACAAGGAGTTTACCAATCTTTAAAATTCAAACAGAAGGGATGGATGCCAAGATCTGCTGCCTTTTTCTCCATTCTCTAATCTCTGAGTCACCTATCCCTTTTGGCTCCTGCTCCCAGGTTATAGCTGATGCACAGCTGACCTGCCAGCTAACATTGTAGTTAGCAGGGTAGCTGGTCTAATTCCACTTCCCCAAATTTCCTCTTGTTCTGATGATGCAAAACATCTCAGGTGCCAGGACACTGCGGCACCCATTCACAATGCCCTTTGAATGCCACCCAGGGTCTTAAGATTTGAAATGACCTGGCGTAGCCAGGACCTCAGGGTCACACGCCACCTGACAGCAGATTCAAATTGCTGATACCAGGGTCCGCTTACCAGTTCCCCTGCGCCACTCTGGTAGCACCGAGACGAGCGCAGACCACCCACCGCCCCCTTCCCCCCCAGCCCTGCTTCCGAGCTGTGACTGCGCCCGGCCTGAGCTGCTACGGGGGCAAAAACCCTCGTCCTAGCCCCACGCCCAGCATGTTCCGCAGGGCGGGGCGGAGAGAAAGGGGCGGGGCTGGTTGGCGACGGTGCCACAGACGTCAGTCGCGCTCCTCCTCTACGTGAAAGCACACAGACGGAACCCAGCACACTTCCGGGTGCGCAGCTCCTCCCGGAAGTGGCCACAGCGCGGCCTGTGGGTGGTTCCAATCTGGCCAATGGCGTCCCGGCTTTGCCCTAGCCTAGAGGAGCGCAGGGTACGGTGCGCTGGTGGGCAGATATCGCGAGAGGATATTACTCCCTCCCCCCCCCCCCCCTCACGCCC